TTCTAATGTTCCAAAATTTCCAACTACTCACTGCAAGCTCTAAATAAATTGATATATTACTGATTGGTGAAAAAATCCCCCCTCCCCTTTTCTAATACAATATAAAACAGTTGAACAATGGTTCAAGTAGATTTAAGGACAAGATTAAAAACAGATGTAAATTCATTTTTATATCTACCAAAGTCTTGATTAATATAACACACACAGAGCTACAATTTAAAATGATGGATGGTAAAAAAAAACTGTACACGTTCAACACAACGTCTAAATCCACTTTAAAAGAAGGAACGAGACTAAAATATTAATCGTACCCATTTTGTTGACAGGAATGCTCTGCACCTTTCTTTTCAATCTTTTCAAGGACATCATATTCCCTAGTGTCATCAACCTCTTGCATCTGTCCTGTAGCCACTTTGAAGAGAAATCCAAGTACAAGCTGAAATAAATAGTGAAAACTAATGAGTTATTTGAACATGTATTCCCCTTCACAAAACCGAAACACCAGAAAATACGCTTTGCCTCGTAAACTAGCAAGCTGATAAATTACTTTTCACATCTCTTGTCCAACAAGCATCTTTTGAAGTTGAAATTACTTCTTTCTTGAGAGGAATGAAGGAAAATGTACATCTTGTCAAAGAGCAGATCAGTTTCCTTTTGTTTGTGTTCTTATCTTTTCATTTTATCAGGTAATTGGAGGTTTTCCATATTTGCGGCTAAAGAAAAGAATAATGCTCATCCCTTAACTCTATTAATATCCTCCCCCCATGAAAAACAAACTATTATTAACATACAACAACTATTAAAAACTGCATCGAGAATGTCAAGATTTTGCCACAGAGTGAAATGTCGAGATGTTGGGAATCGTTAATCACTTGTAATAATAATGCTACATCAGCTGATCAATCTATTTTTTCTAGTCTAAGTTAAACAAATTCAAAATAAACTCACCATAAACCAATAAATATTCATGGCCAGGAGAACCCAAAGAAGAAAGTTGAGAAATGTTGCAAATGGAATTGATATTTTTCTGTCTACCAGGTTTTGTGATGAAACATATAGAACTTTCAATGGAAACCAATACAAACGAGACACAAACCTGCAAAATTTTAAATATTCACCAGTTTATTTTCAAAGTACCTAAAAAGTATTACAAAAAAAGGACCAAATAATTATTCCTTACCGATGTCTCAACTCTTTCCAAACCAGCTCGTTTTTAGTAAATGTATTTTGAAGTTGGTGATGCGAAAAACTTTAACTGTATTTTTTTGTCTACAACTCTCTAACAAAACCATACTGACATTATATACTTCCTCAATCACAACTTCATTTCTTATACAGACAGCAAATTTCTAAACCTGTAGTTAACTGTGAAGTCTTTCTTCATTGCATACAAGTAATCAATTTAATTTTGATCCCTCAACTTGTTTACTTTGAATGAATTACTCTGGCAGTTTCTTCCGACACTACAAAAACTGCCAATTCAAATTAAAACTACAGTCTCCTATGAGATGAAGGTATAAAATATGGTAAGATAAGTTACATTAGTTTAACAACACACAAAGTAGGCTAGTCAATGATGTCATAAGAGATATGTAACCTAGCAATTTTTTTTATTTACATTATAAATTGTGAATTTAACAGAACTATCTAACTTAGATTTGAAAATGTCCAATAGTTATGCATTTTGGAAAGAGTCAAAACAGTGTTTTAATTTTAAAGTATTTAAAGAAAACAAATACTAGTTAACATGAATACTTCCTCATTATTAATATAATATAATTATACCTATAATTCTAAACTATCATATTTGGTTAATTAATCACATTACATATTCAAGATGTTTTTGTTTTTCACGTAAAGTCAAATGTCGAACATCTCGTTCACTCCTCTTAAGGACTTAAATGTTTGCTTACCAAGTCAGAGCAAAAATACAAAATGAAAAATTTGCAATATGTTCATGGTGTTTCTTTAGCCGTCCTCCTTGAATTTTAAAATACACATTCAATTTAGTAAATTCGAGTTGAACATCACAGATGTCATGAAGAAGAAGCACCAGAATACCTATGTTCTGATACCTGGAGAAAGAAAACAAGAAAAAAAAAACGAATTGAAGAATTAACTACATGATAAAACACTAAAATTAGCTCTCTCTGTTTTAGCAAAGGAAATATTTAGTGTAAATTAGAGAGATATCTTCACTTATATGTATAGAAGGAATAAAGAATACCGAGGCTCTAACAAATAATGAGCCCTTCGGTAAACTCCACTAGAGATACAAATATCGTTGAAAACTTTAAAAAAAAAACCTCAATAGTTCATTAGAATATGCCATTTAAAAACACTTGCTAAATATTGAAGTTTCCGGTTATTAGTAAATAAAACCTTAATATAAAAGTACAGTGAAAATTGACTGGTTACTGTCCTATATTTAGAGTAAACTGGTTACTGTCCTATAATAGATTACTGAAAGCTAAAATAAATACACAAGTTAACAAGAAAATAGCTTTAAGAATTTCCCGTCAGTTCAGAACAGAAGACATGTAAAACATTCACTAAAAGGAGTAATAGCTTAATCTAAACTGTTCTATACTGGAGAGAGTATTGACATGGATAGATTAGAAACATACATAAAAGATGACATCTACATCTTGTATAGAAAGTTACAAGTATCAGTCACATAAAGATACGATTTCTACAATGGAGTAACAGTTACTCTATGAAACTCTTATATGGTCATCTTATATACAGCAAGGAAGTCCCATTTTATGGTTAAAGTATAAAGTGAAATCATAAAACAACATGCATTAATGTTTTTCAGCATTAAACGTATACACTGTATCCACTTTTTCATTATGTTTCATACCAACAAATGTGGTTATGATGAACGCAAAAGTATTTATACAGCAAGTCAAAATAATCAGTTTAAGATATTGCAAATGCAACAAAACTTGGAGAAAAATAAGATACAGAGCAATGGAATGGAAGTGACGTAAACTCAAACTAGCCGTGAAAAGAAGTGCATTGCAGCCTTTTTGTCATAATGTTACTTTTCCAGCCCATCTATGCTAACTTAAATACTACAAAAGTTAGTTTAAAATCACTTTAATACATTTCTAATCTGATGCTTCCAATCATATTCAAAGCAAGTCAACGTTTCCCCTTTAATCTTCCTAAACGTGCATCTCCGAGAACTTTATCATAGATTAGTCCGAGCTTTAGTAGATGTCTATAAGTCTAAGAATGGGAAAATGTCCAATCGTATGAATGCTAGGATTGTCTTGTTCTACAGTAAATTACATAATTTGAAATATTTAGGAATCAGTCAATTTACTGCTATTTTAGCCATTATTTTTCAGCATCTTTATTTTATGTAAGGCTTCTATAAATCAGTCTCACCAATGAATACTTTCACAGCTGTATTCATCTCTTACAAGAACAAACTATCCTAACCAAGTAACCTGTGCAAGTTTCAGTCCTAACTGAGTAGCTTGTGGATGTTTCAGTCCTAACTGAGTAGCTTGTGGATGTTTCAGTCCCAACTGAGTAGCTTGTGGATGTTTCAGTCCCAACTGAGTAGCTTGTGGATGTTTCAGTCCCAACTGAGTAGCTTGTGGATGTTCAGTCCCAACTGAGTAGCTTGTGGATGTTT